TGTAGTTCTATGGTTGGAGTAATCTTAAATCTTTGTAGCAAGACAGACTGGCTTACACAGGGTGTAAGGTTGGTTCCGTTGTAGTCTTTTTTTTTTTTTGTCGTGGGGCTTGAACTCGGCCTGGGCGCTGTCCCTCAGCTCTTCAGCTCAAGGCGAGTGCTCTATCACTTGAGCCACGGCACCATTTCCAGTTTTCTGATGGTTTATTGGAGATAAGAGTCTCACAGACTTTTCTGCCAGGACTGGCTCTGAACCGTGATCCTCAGATCTCAGCCTCCTGAGTAGCTATGTTGTAGTCAATTTGAGGAGTAAGGTAAAAGTTCCTCCTTCCGGTAGAGGAATTGAATTTGGCCTAGAAGTGTCTGCCCTTGCTACCTGCTGCTATGCCAACGGCGGGGCCTCAGCACTAGCAGTTGCTGCTAGTGGTGCGACCCCATCCACAGGCCCCAGCCCCATGATGGGTGTAGGCATTCATCTTGCTGAGTGGCCGGGGCTGGGAAGGTGGCTCAGTGGTAGAGTGCTTGCCTTGCATGCATGAGGCCCTGGGTTCGATTCCTCAGCACCACATAAGCAAAAAGAAAAAAGCTGTAAGTGGCGCTGTGGCTCAAGTGTTAGAGCGCTAGCCTTGAGCTGAAGAGCTGAGGGACAGCGCCCAGGCCCATGACTGGACCCCCCCCCCAAAAAAAAAGGGAGTGGCCATAGTTCAATGTCCCTCTGGAAGCTTCCTGCTCACCCAGTGCTCCCTGGAGCTGCACCTTAGCTGGTGGCAACCAGGAAGGCCTGGCCTCTGCTTCACCCGCGGTCCTGGAACACTCAAGACTAATTAGTCCCTGTCCTTCCTGGCAGCTGGTTCACCCCAGAGGACTTACAGGTGTGGTTTTCAGGGGCTACTCTTAAGATTCAGACTTATTGTAGCCTTTTGCTATGCCACTCACCCATGCTGGAGAGCAAGCAGCTTCCTGTGGCTACCTCCCTGTCCAGTGCCCAGCAGGACCAGGATGTGAGAGACAATTGGTGCTTGGTGAAACAGCAGTCTAGGCCTGCAGTACGATCGGCCAGCACTGCCAGCCATGATGGCAGGGCTGCTTTTCAGTTGACCTGTGCCGGCCCCAGACTGTTTGTCCCTTCCTGCAGTTTTGCATCTCTGCTTCCTCAGTCAGTTTGGAGAACACTCCTTTCAGCCTGTTGAGCCTAGTCCTGGGCCTGCACCAGACAGGGCCACTGGGCCTGCACCAGACAGGGCCACTGGGCCTGCACCAGACAGGGCCACTGGGCCTGCACCAGACAGGGCC